TTCTAATATCCACAACCACCGCTCATCCAATTACGTCCAAAAGATGAGATTTTTATTAATTCCAAACTCCCCAAATCTTGTCCCCAATCAAGCTAATGAACATCCTTACCGTGCCAAAAGAATTCACACCAGACACTGCCTCCACCTCCTCATCCCCCTCCCCTTTCCTCTCCTTTGATTCAATGTAATCTTCCTCAGCAGCGAAAAATTCCTCCTTGAAATTCATATGGCTGTTGAAGCGGTGACGGCGGCGACGGTCGGAGGGAACCGCTAACGGCTCAACGGATTCCTCAACCGCCTCGAGGATTTGATGTATTAGATTACGGTTAGGCGATGCGTCCCACCGAGCCCAAAAGCTCTTGTAACATCCGAAGCAATCGCAGCCGAGTTCTGGTGAGTGATGCTGGTTGTTCTTCTTTCCGGCGATCGCACCGAACAGAAGGTAGGCGAGCACCTCTTTGTCCTCCGGCAAGAGCGCTGCTGTTAGGGTGGGGATGGCTGCCGGGAGAAGGGAGAGGAGATTGCTTGGGGATGAAGGTGGAGGTGAAGGGTGGATCTTCTTTCCCATTCCGCTGTACAGCTTCATCATATCTATCTATCTCTGATATTTAGTGGGTACTTAACACTTCTTATACATCTGAGATTTATAAAACATAGGAATTGACTGAACCACTCAATTCCTATGTTTTTACTTATCTAACACTTAAATTTTAATTCTTGCATATGTCAAATAATTTATGAGTTGATTATGGAATGGGACAAAAGATTAAATCTTTTTTTAAGTTTTTTTTTAATATTACGTAAAATATAATTAATTTTGATAGTAAAATTTTTTTGTGAGATCCTAATCTTAAACAATTTCAAAATAAAGATTTATTTTAGTTTAAAAAATATATATATATATTTTCTCGAAGCTTAAAAAATTTGTGGCAACACAAAAAATATATCTTTTTTATTAAAAGAGGTTAAATTGCGACAAATGTAGAAGAATTGGTCAGACTAAATTTTCACCAGCACTAATCCTAACTTGCAGAATGAAGACCAGTGTGTGATAACTAGTGTAAATTTCCATAAATATACTTGATATAATTAATTTCCTAAAACATTCATATTCAAATATACTTGAAAGCATGAAAGTCATATCATCAAAACATATAATTCTATACAAAGTTGTTAAATCCAAAATTAAAAAAAAAACATTTGCCCAAAAGTTTGTACAAGCTTTCAAAACTACGAAATGTAAAAGTTGTGAAAGTCACATCTGGCTATTCGCCTCGGAGCTCTTTACCCCTTATGTAAGTTAACAACATGGAGTGAGAAACAATGAGCTTAAAGAAATAATCAATGCTAAAATAAGATTTTATAGATGAAAAAGAGTGTACATGCTTGTATATAATCCATGTACATGACCACAAAACACATTATGCTATAAATGTTTAAAAAATGAAAAGAAAAGAAATATAGTTCAAGGAATCATGACTAATATATAGAATATGTATTCCATCTATTCATGAACAATCATAAGCAAGTGATCGTAAGCATGTAATCATAAACATGTTATAAAGAGTAATTAATCTAATCAGAATAATATCACATGCAATTGTATAGACCTCAATTATTCTCAGGTCATTTCATGTCATTGGGTCATCACTCAGCCGGAAAGACAAATTAACTTATGATAAATATTGGCCCCCTAATACACATAAAATATATAGTCTTTATGTACACATTTTTATGCTTATTTTTGAGATATTGCTCTTTAATGGAATGTTTTTGTGTGTTTTTCTTTCATGTATGATAAAATGGATGAAAAATGGTGAAATGAGTGAAAAAAAATCAAATTTGGAGCAAAAATGAAGGTGTGCGAAAGAATTGTATCGCCTAAGCTCCCATAACTGGTGCTTACCCGCCAGTAAAACAGAGAAGGTCTTACCTAAGCGTCAGTACCTCTCTCTTAAGCGCCAAAAGTAGTTATTTGGAGATTCAATGAATTTGGACAAATTTTTGAAGAGGTGTTTGAAGCAACCTCTGGTGAAAATGTTGAAAATATTTAATGGACGCAAAAATATATTCAATTGGATTTTGAAAGGAGGCAACTCTTGGAAGACCCATTGAATTTGGACACATTTTAAGGAGACATAAAGACACCTTTTGGAAATTTATAAAAGAAAACTTGGATTGAAGAACTGTCTCTCTCAATAATCTATCGCGAGCCCCCTTCCAGTCACCCATACACGTCGCTGATGCCCATGGCCACACTCGCCGCCATAAGTTTTCTTTTTCTTTTGAGTTGTAGTTTGTATTATAAATGAAGGAAGAGATTCAAAGGAACTTCAAGATTTTGGTGGAGAGGATTTGAGATAAGTTTTTATCTTTGTGACTACATTTGGTTTTAATTTAGTCTTTTTGTTTGTTTGCATGATTTATACTTTCAAACTTAAGTGTGGTTGTGTTTTCTCCATAAATTTTAAGTAATTTTCTTTATCTTTTTTCTTAAAATGATAAGTGATTAAGTATTGGATGAAAATTATGTGAAGTATTAATCTTTAATATTGGAATAAGTTA